TTGTTTGTTTGTTTGTTTTTAATTCTGTCACTTTTTCTCTGGGCCAGTGGCCCCCAGTTTACCAGGGTTCGGGCTCACTGGGCAACCCCAGCCTTTCACCTACTGAATTGCACAAGGGGTCTGGACAACTAGATATTTAGACAGGCTGTAGGAGTTCTAATCAGCAGCAGGTTTGCCCACATTTACATAACAATATGGTGAGTCTCTGAAATTGTGTGTAGGTGGATCCAAGTGCCATCTGTTAGCTTCCAGAAGCTTCAGCCTGTGTAGACAACCAGCCCAGACTGAGGGTTCAGGACCAGGGAGCAGAGCAGCCTTGCACATCTGAGCTTTGCCTTAGGAGTTTGAGTGGCCTGAGCTGGGGCTGGGTTCCAGAAGTCACAAGGCAGCCCCTGCACGTGGGCTGGAGGCCTAGCATGACCTTCAATATCCTCGAAGACACAGAAAGTGGTCTGTGGTTCTGGCATGTACTTGGTCTTTGTCTTGACACCCTGGACTCATGGGTCAGTGGCTCCATCCAAGAGACAAGGCCTGGCTTGGTCACCTCCACTGCTCTTCTTGACCCTGTCAGTTACGCCCCTTCCCCAAGTCCCCAGCAAGTGCCTTCCAGAAACCCACACTGAGGTCATCTAGTGGGCAGGATGGCAGACAGGAAAATGGAGGAGCTGCAGACAGGGGTGGACAAGGCTGCGGGCAGGGCTCTGGGGCCTGCAGTTATTGTTAGTAACACCCACTCCAGTTCACCCTATGGGACAGCAGAACATAACACACTCGCTGCCATTGAAACAGAACCAACTCAGAACTGACCCCCTGGCGGGTTTTCAGGGATTCTGAATGACATCCGGAGGAGACTGCCCATAGCTCTCCCTCAGAGCTACGCTTGGATTCAAACCTCCAGAGGTGCCACTTTTGCGTGAACAGCACCATCTCCCGGCAGACTGTGCCTTTAGGATTGCAGCACAGCCTCTTACCACTGGGCTGCCAGTTGAAGAGACTATTGCTGTCGTTAGAATGTGGGAGATTTCTCATGGAGCAGGAGTGCAATTCCTGAGCCTCCGTTTCCTCACCTGTAAAATGGGCTCCTGACAGGGCGATGCAGGGTTGCGGTGAGTTTTCACAGGGCAGACGATCCATGTCTGTGTTTTTCTCCTGACTGGAGCCCCAGCCCGAGAGAACCTTTCTGCAGCCTCCATCCCTCCGTCTTCTGATGAGGTGGCTCCTGACGGGTTGAGCGTCTTTCTATGACCTGATGTTTTGGACATGACTGTGCACCTGGCTAGCCTTCCCCACTCAAGGCAGCCCCCCAGCCTACTTCACATGGTGACCCAGGCTTTATACTCCAGTTTAGTGCCTCAGGAGAAGGGACACCCCTGTCCTGTGGCTCCCGGGATGCGGGAGCTCATGGGCTGGGACCAACATGGCCCCTGGTCAGTCACTGCTGAGGGTGGGGCTATGATGTTCTTGTTGGACAGGCTGGGGGCCACACCCCAGAGTTTGGAGGGGTGATGGGTTCTGGGCAGCCCAGGGCCACTGCAGGCTCTTCTCTGCCACCTGCTGGGTCTTCCCTCAGGTGGGCCCAGCTCAGCACCTCTCGACAGCACCCCCACCCCCAGCTGCATCCAATATACTTCAGGATTATGGCTTGGCCTGTGTGTGTGAGTGAGCTTCATCACTCTGTGAGCGCACAAGCCATTTCCTGGGTGAGCTTTAGACTAGGCATCTTAATTCAAACACCCATAATGGATTGATTAGAGCACCTCGATCATGTCCACCTATGCAGGGCAATGGATTACTAAGGCAGCTTTCCCCAACCACTGTTTTTGTTACTTTTCATGTGGCTGGGTAGGATTGTGTAGATGTGAGGTGTCTGTGACCCACCAAAGGGGTGAGTTTGCTTGCTTACCATGCATTTAAGGTAACTAGCACATTTCAGGTGACAGCATAGTAGTAAGATGCGGAGAATGCTGTGGGGGGATTGGCTCAATTTGACCATGCCACCCAGCTTAAACTGAGCTGGTCTAGAGGTGGCAAACAGGGAATTTACTAGCATCAATAGGGAGCTCTGGTAGCCTAGGAATAAAGAGCTGTGCTGTCAACCCAAAGGTATGTGGTTTGAATCCACCAGCTGCTCTGCAGGAGAAAAATGGGTAACTTTCTCCTGTGCCATTTTCTGCCTCTGAAAACCTGCTGGAGGGTCAGCTATGAGTTGGTTCTGACTCACAACAACAATACTATTAAGAAAGAAGAACCAAAGAGTCCAGCATGTCCTTTGGACCAGAGAGCTCTGTGTAGACCAGAGATGGAGAGCTGTAACCACTAGGGAGATAGTGAGAGCTGGCAAGATGGCGCTAGACAAGGTGGTGGCAGAGGCCAGCCTGAGACAGGGCTGTGGGTTCCGGCTCCTCTCGTGGAGAGTGGAGTGCTTGTTGGTGGGATAGGTGTTTCTGAGCGTTCACCGGGGACCTGGTCTGCTGGCCCATGGAGCTAGAGCCGAGCACCTCCAGGCCTAGGCTGACTGGAAGGACAGGGCTGTCTTTGCACAGATTTAGACAGTTCAAAGAACTTTGCAACACTTGGCCAAGAAGAGCAAAGGCCATGAGCCATGAAGTCGGGGTGGTTCAGAGCGAGGCCTGCCTTCTGGAAATGGCTGAGAAGAGATCATTCTATCTGACGCTGTATCCGAGCCTGGGATTGTTATTTCCCGTGTTGTTTTTGTTGTGTGCCATCAAACTAACCCAGCGCGGACCCTCCAGCAGGTTTTCAGAGGCAGTTGATTACATGGGAGGGATTGCCTATCCTCCTGTAGAGCAGCTGACGGATTTGAACCGTGTGCCTTTGGGATCTTACTGCAGCTTCTTTCCTCTAGGCTACCAGAGCTCCCTGTTAGTCCCCTAGTAAACCTCATAATCATGAGCATTATCTGTGAGGTTTGTGTGGTCACTACAACAGATTATCAAACTCTGTAGGAATGAGAACTGCGGGAGGGATGGTTGGTTTTGGAACTGGTAGAAGAGAAGGGTCTGTACATGGAGCCTGGGGAGGAGGGATGTCTGACCTCATAGGAATTGAGCTGCTGATGCCTCAGTTTCCTCACTTGTGACCAAGGCTGAGCCTGCACCTCCCTCCTGTACACAGCTCTCCACTCACCCGAGCCACAGAGCTGCCTGGACGACTTTATTGACTTTACCGTTGCTCAGCACGAGGCTGGCGGCCCCTGGAAACAGACAAGGTCTTAATGACAGCAACCGAAGCATCTTATGGGGTCCCGTCACGTGAAGCAGCTCAGTGGTGCTGGCCAGACAGGCAGCACAGAGCTGCTTCCAAAAGCTTCAGTGGAATGTTCCAGATCTGTGTTGCTGCTGTCAGCTGTCGAGCTGGCTCTGACTTGCGGCGGACTCAGGTGATACAGAGGAGAACCGCTCCCTGCATTGTTTTCTTGACTGCCATTTTTAGAGAAGCAGGTCGTCAGGCCTCTCTTCCGACATACTATCAACTGGTGGCTTTAAACCACTAACCGTTGGGTTCACAGCTGATCATGAGTCACTTGTGCCAGCAGCTCCTGTCACAAACAAGGAAGGACTTCAAGAAAGGGCTTGATGTCAAAACTCCCAGGCCATTGGCTGAGCTGTTGACGAGCCAGAAAAGTCTGACTTCTGGGTCCCGCAACTCCCAGACGCAGGACCCTACGACCATCTGGTCTGAGAGGAAGGTGGTGTGGGTGCTGCTGGGGCCTCAGCTGAGCTTCGCTGGAAGATCTGCTGTCACCGTCTCTCTTCCCCAGGCCTCAGCCAGCTCCCGGTAGTTCACTGTCTGCAGACTCCTCCATGTAAGAAGAGCCATTGGCAACAAGAGAAACCATGAAAACCATCTTTAGGGCAAAGAAATAGGTAAGCAAGTGCCATAAATATTGTCCATCTCTGCTCCTCCAGCCCCCTTGCAACGTGGCCGAGTCCTGCACAGTTTGCAGTTTGAGGGTCTGAAATTCCCATAGGAGAAGGCCCCGCCCACCCTCTCGCTCCCATCCCAAGATCTCCTTAAAAGGTCTTGAACCTGCAAATTCATATACTTCCCCTGGAAGGTGCACAAGGAAGGGAGTGTGCATCCTGACTCTCCAGTTAGAGGGAAAACACCAAATAGTCGATTTCCAGTTTTTAAAAACAGGATGGTTCACGGTATCAGAAAAGGGAGGAGGAGGAGTGCGAGTGGCCGATGATGGAGGGGTTAGGGCTGGTGTTGGGCAAGGGGCCAGTCTTATTGCAGGGACCTGGAAGTGGGTTCTCAGAGCTGGTGCAGATGGGCCATAATAAATAGAAATAAACTTACAAATGGTCCCAATGTCCAGTCTACTCTAGAAAAGTACATCCTACTAGCTTGCCAGTTGCCACTGTGTCCCCATCAACTCATGACGACCCGTGTGTCAGTGAACTGGGGTTGTTCAGTAGATTGCCAGGTCTTTCTTCCTAGTGTCTCTGGGTGGTCTCTAACCACCAAACTTTCAGTCAGCAATTGAACACATTAACTGGTGGCCGCACCAGGGAGATGAGGGTGCTGGGGGCCAATGAGACAGATGCCCATTGCAGCGTTCAGCTGTTTCCTGTGAGGAAGTTCAGAATTCCCACATTCTACTTGTGGCCTCAGGGCCTGGCTGCCGGAGGCTGGAGGCCTGTGTGTCAGTCTGGTTCTTCCATCCTCCAGGAGAATCAATTCAAAGCCCTTTCAGGCCTCTTGCCAGTATACCCTGGAGTGGGCTGTGGGTGGACAGGGCTGTGTCGTAGGGGACTTAGGAGAGCACTGTGAGCAGAGAAAAGCCCAACTTGCTGTCTCTGCTCTTCTTATACTGGTCTGGAGGTTCTGGTCTTCCTGTGCTGGTATCAGGGCAGCAGGGGCACCCAACCTGTAGCCCACCAGGCTCAGAAGGGCCTCCCTCTGGGAAGTCCCTGCCTTGGTCATCCTCTGCAGGGTCTCCCCCAGGGGGCTCCGGGATCAGGCTGCTCCTGAGCTTACAGCAGGGCGATGGGCTTGTTCCCTGGGGTGCCCAGGTACTGGGATGAGGTGGTGGAGGCTGAGGAGGCCACGCTGTCTGGGGCAGAGTATGCAGCATAGAGACCTGTCACTTGCAAGTCTGAAAAGGACTGGTCACTACCGCCGGAGACAGAGGTCAGGCCCGGGCCCCCCATGTCACAGTCAAGTGGGGAGTCTCCGAAGGTCCCCAGGGCATCCAGGCTGAAGCCCTCATCCTTCATTTCCTCCCAGAGGTTTCCTGTCAAAGACAGAAGGGTCGGGGAGGCCGGTCAGCAGGGTGTGGAACACACCTGAGTCTCCGTTACAGCCAGAACTTAGAGGAGCCAGCCCGCCCCTCCTCCACCCTGGGGGCCTGTGCTCCTGAGCCTCATTTTCTTGGACTGAAATGGACGTGATCGGAGGGCCTATCTCTAAGGGCTGGCCAGGGTTAAGTAAGACAACAAAAAAAAAGCACCAGGTCCCCATTGTGGCTCCAGAGTGCTCAGAGTGAAGCAGAGACCCACAGGGCTTCCAACGGCTGACTTCCAGGAGATCACCAGGCCTTGCTTCTGCATCTTTTTTTAGTTTGGATGCTCTGCTGAAACCCATTCCAGCCTCACAGCAACACTCCAGGTGCAACATTGTCATGGAAAGTGAGACTTCCACCACTGAGCCAGCATTGCTTTCTTTTTTAAAAAATGTTTGCATTTTTTTTAAATCATGATTTTCATGGAAGTTTACAAAGAGTTTGGTTTTCATTCATTCATACCCATCAGCATTGCCTTCTTGATTACAAGTTTTGGGCCAGACAAACCTGAGTTGAAACCCAGCTTTGCCAAATATTAGCTAGGTAATGGTGGCCTAGTGATTTATCTCTCCCTTTACCTCAGTTTTCTCATCAGCAGAATGGGTATATGAAATGTCAGGGGTCTCACAGGACCCTTCACTATGCATGCAATGTCTAAGCAGCATTCCTTTCTGATTTCCCCTCCCACTCCAGTGCAGTGTTCAGCATCTCTGCATCCTATCCCTGCCCCATGTCCATCTACATTTGTAACAACAGAAGTGTGACAGTTAACAGTCTGGAGGAGGGCATGCACTGCAAGGTGAATTGGCCGGAGGGGAAGGAGGAAAATACATATCAATGAATGAATGAATGGAAGCCCATCCTTTCTGGACACTTGGACTAAAATCACAACTTTAAAAGAAGTTAAGCTTTGTACCCAAAAAAAGTGCTTAGGACAGTGTATGGCAGAGAGTAACCCACTCAGCTCTCTGCTGTGGAGTCGAACCTGATTCATAAGGACCATCTGATCGGTCTCTGGGGCCGTAGAAAGGGAGGACCCTGCCGTCTTTCTCCCTCCATGCCCCGGAGCACTCAGACCTCAGCCCTCTCAGGCAGCGATGGCGCATCTCGCCAGCAGAGACCGCTGGTGCGCACCGAGTGCTCGGTTACTCGCCGGTATGCGGGACCGGGAAAAGTGTGTGGAAGGACTGTGTCCCCTTGCCCTTCCAGCACCAAGCTGCCCCCCGCCCCAGCCTCACCCTGCAGAGCGAAGTCCATGATGCTGGGATCCAGGGCGTCCACCTCGGGGGTCACGTCGGTGGAGATGTTGATGAAGTCCACCGGAGCCCTCGCCACTGCCGGGTGGGCTAGGGGGCTTGGGCTCAGGTGGTCGGGCAGGACGCGCAGGGGAGGGGTCTGGGCTGGGGCCGGGGAGTCAGGGCCCAGGTGGGCCTGGGGCTGGGGCTGGTGGTGGAGGGGGACAGACTGCAGGGACAGGGTCATCAGGGGCTGGGGCGGGAGCTGGGAGACAGCCAGACAGCCATGGGCCATGGCCACCGTGGTCAGCATGGAGGTCTCTGGCTCTCCCAGCTTCCCGGGGCGCCGGCAGCTCTCTGGCCGGTCGGAGATCAGCTTGTCCAGTTCCTCTGTGGGCAAGGGGAAGAGGTCGCTCAGAGTCCACCCTGGGAGGAACCCCGGGCCTTCCACCCCCTACCCCTTCACAGCCTCCCTCGGGTGCACAACACTGTCTATTCTGTCTTTTCGTCTACACCACACAGAGTGAGGGTCTGTGTGTGTGTGTGTGTGTGTGTGTGTGTGTGTGTGTGTGTGTGTAATGAGGTCACACCAAGTCTTCGAGGAATGAGGGGAGCTTTCGGATCATGAGAACCTTGCTATGAATGGGGGCCACTGATTCCAGCCCACTGTGCACACCCCCGGCCCCCAAGTGACAGCAGAATCTTCCCATCATGTTTTCTAGGCCTTTACAAGAGCGGATCACTCCAGGTCTGGTCTTTGTTCTCAAAAAGCCACTGGATGGGTTTGAACTGCCAACCTTTCAGTTAGCAGCTGAGTACATAGCCATTGTGCCACCGGGGCTCCTTTATTGTTGTTATTGTTGTGTATCATCGGATGAGAACCAACCCAGAGGTAGTAAATATCATGGGAGCAGATTGCACATCCTTGTCCTGTGGAGCAGCTGGTGGATTTGAACTACGTACCTTTATGTTGGTGCTGCAATTCCTTACCACCAAGCCACCAGAGCTCCCTTCAGGGCTCCTTAGCCTCTCTCATTTGGAAAGGGCAACAGAGGACAGATTGTGACCAAAGGGGTTCACCTGAACCTCATCACATCCTGAGAGAGGAACTAAGCCTAGGATTACAAATCGCACAGGGAAGGGGCATATTATTAACAAGCAAGAGGTTTTAGTGACTCAAAGACTGATTCATCCTAAACCAGATGCCTCTGGAAACTCTATGAACATAGAGTTAATTAATTATTAATTAACATAATTAATGGTGTTATTTACAGAAGAGGATTCAGGTCTTTTGCTATACTGAGGTAATCTGGGGTTACTGTGATGCTGAATCTTGTGCCATTACGGTGTCGAATGCCATAATGGTTTCCCAATATGGACAGTGTTTGATGGAGCTCCCAGTTGTAAAACAGGTTTGGAAGTAGGAGTGGCATCCAATTCCTAAACCACATGCCTCTGGAAACTCTATGAACTTGGAGAAACAATGATAGTTATGGAAAGGCATTATGTCTTTAGTTCATAAAGTTGCTATGAGTCCTGCTTGACTCAGTGGCAATCAACAATAACAACAAGAAGTATCGCTGGGTGTTAAAAAAAAATCAGATTCGCCTTAACACTTTTGGAAGGCAGCTATGCTCACCGCTATACCACCACCAACACACACACACACACACACACACCCCTTAACACTCTTGGACAGAGACAAGGAAGACTTCACCTTAACAATTTTATCAGCCAGCATTGTCACTGACTGTGAATAAGGTTGCCTGCCTATTTCTCCACATCTTAGCCTTCACTGAGTGTTATTGTTTTTTATTATTATTTTTTTAAACCTCTGTAGGAAAGGAATGTTATTCCAAGGTTAACTCACCTGTCACTGTGAGAAACTAGGGAGTATTACTGACCGTTGGCAGCTTTCACCCAGCCCGCTCCTACCAGCCACAGGGGAGGGTGAGGCACAGTCCCTGGTCTCCCCAGGAAGGGCTTCCTCCCAGAACCTGCCTCCTCACCAGTGAGGCATGAGTGTGCTGCTGGCCAGATTGGAGGCATGGAGAGCCAGGCGGGACGGGGAGATGGGAGGGTGTGTGCAGGAGCAGAGCGTGTATGAGACATGAAGTGTTCATGGATGGTGTGTGTGTGCAGTGTGCACCCGGGCAGTGTGTGTGCTGTTGTGATGTGTCTGTGTGGTTGGGCATCGTGGGTGGTGTGGGGGTATGTGTCGAGTGTGTAGCATCATGGCATGTCTCTGTGGTTGTGTTGTGTTATAGCACAAGGGTGTGGTGTGTGGGCAGTGTGCAGAGGTGTCACACGTGTAATACGTGTGGTCCTGTGATGTGTGTGCATTACACACTCCACAGCATGCAGCACGTATGTGCCGTTGTATGGGGAGTGCGGTGGGGTGGTGTGTCTGTGGTTGTGTAATGTGCCCGTCCAGTGTTGTGGCATTTCTGTGGCTGTGTGGTGTGTCTGTGCAGGAAATAGTGCGAACACAGATCTGTGCGGTCATGGGGGTGTGTGGTCGTGAGTTATCTGTGGATGGGGTATGTGGTGTTGTGAGGTGTCTATATGTGGTTGTGAGGAGTGGTTTTGTGTCGCACCTGTGTAGAGGGGTGCGCTGTGTGGAGTCTTGCCCTGCCCATGCCATCATGGACTGTGTGCAGTTGTGGAGTGTTATGATGCATGTGTGTACAGTGTGCAGTGTGTGGTGTGGTGTGTCTGTGTGGTTGTGAGGTGTCTGTGTACGGGGTGTGGTGTGTGATGTGATGTGTCTGTGTATGAGGTGTGTAGGATCTAGGATGAGGTGTCTGTGTGGTTGTCACACTGCGCCTGTACCGTTTGGTGCTGTTTGCAGGGGTGTGGTGTGTGTGATGTTGTGATGCATCTGTGTACAGGTGTGCAAGTTGTGTGGTCACACGCTGCATGCCCCATCATGTGCCATGTGCAGGGGTGTGGTGTTGTGATATGTCTGTTGCAGGTGAACAGGTTGTGGGTCACACTGTGCCTGCCCTGTCGCGTGTGCTGGGGTGTGGTGTGATGCCTCTGTTTACAGATGTGTGTGGTGTGAGGGCACATTGCACCTGCCCCATAATGTGCCATGTGCAGGGGTGTGGTGTTGTGATGTGTCTGTGCTAGTTGTGGGGTCCCACTGCGTCTGCCCATCGTGTACTGTGCGCAGGGCGTGCTGAGTGCGGTGTTGTGGTGTGTCTGTGAACAGGGAGCAGGGTGTGGGGTCCCACTGTGCCTGCGCCACCATGTGCCGTTTGCAGGGCGCGCTGAGTGTGGTGTTGTGGTGTGTCTGTGAACCGGGAGCAGGGTGTGGGGCCCCACTGCGCCTGTGCCACCTGTGCTGTGCGCAGGGCGCGCTGAGTGCAGCCCGGGCCTCACCAGGGTTGGCCATGCTCCGGTGGATGGCGGCCAGGTCCTTCCTCTTCCACTTGTGCATCTCCTCCTCCATCTTGTCGATGCGGGCCAGGTTCAGGGCCCACAGGCACCCTTTGCGCGAGGAGCCGCTCATCTTGTTCTCCACCTTCTCGAAGCACTTGTTCAGGGACAGGTTGTGACGCACTGAGTTCTTCCAGCCGTCAGGCGCCGTCTAGCAGGATGGGGGTCATGGGGAGAAATGGGGGCTCAGAAGACCCCTTCAGAGAGCCCTCTTTGGGCCAGCCTCCTCCCTCCTTACCCCAGACTCAGAGGCCTACAGGGGTCAGGCCAAAAAAAGCAGTAGGGGGTCAACTGACATTGTCCAACTGCAGCCGTGTATTGGAGACACAATAGAGAGTAGTGAGGACTGCGGCAAACTGGAGGGCAGACGCCTTAATGAATGGAGTGGACACGATCCCGCTGAGGCCAGCTTCTCACACGTGGGAACGAGGCCCAGTGCCGCTGACCCTCCAACCTTTAACTTCCTTTCAGGAAGCTCGTGAGAATGATGTCAATCCACGATTTTCAGGGCAAGTGTATTAAATGCCAGTCATTTTTAAATGCTCGTCCTTGATGGTGCAGTGCACCTCACAACTTAAGCACACACCACTGGGCTAGTTTTGCAGTGCTCACATTCTGCTTTGAGGCTGACAAGGGAGCAGGACTAGTGGCAGTCCCATGCCAGGAGCTGCGAGGCCCTTTGTGGTGGGGGGGACTTCTCTCCATCTTCCAGATGTGAATACTGAGACTCAGAGATGTGACGACGCTGCCTTGTCTATTTTTCCCTATTATGTTCTATTGGGATCTGTGCCAAGTAACTCAGCTGTTTCTTGACTTGTGTTGGTGCCTGATGAACTTCTCTCTTTAACTGTCAAAGCCCAACCTAAATGCCCCCTTCCCTTCTGCATTCCTATGTCCATGTCTGTGTGCAAGTGGTATATACGGGTGTCCATACTCCCAGGTTTGCAGACATAACTGGGGTGGTCCAATGCCAGGGAGAGGACAGGTGGGGGCGTTGTGAGCCCATCACCCCAGGCAGGGCCCCTTACCTTAAAGTAGGGGAAGTGCTCCTTCATGAAGCTGTAGATCTCACTCACAGGCAGGCTCCCTGTCTTGCTGTTCTTCAGAGCCATGGCAATGAGGCAGCTGGAGCAGGCGGAGAGGCAGGTGATCCCATGCAGACAGCACAGGGTCCCCTCCTCCAGGAAGCCTTCCCTGCTGGACTCCACTCACACTCACCCTACACATTCACCCAGCTCATCTCTCCACACCCCTCCACCTCCCAGCATCTTGCCCACCCCCTGTCTCCCTTCTTGGCCCTGGGCTTCTCCCATTGGCCTTGATTGGTGAATTCTTGTCTTTTTCTTGCTCTCCGCCCCAAAATGAATGTCTTTGGGACTTCCCACTTTACCCTGGTTGATCCCGATCCCTAGATGCCTGGGGGGTGTTTGTTATTACGACTGTGATAACTCTACAGTGGATGAAACCAGGCCGGAGAAGTCAAATCGCTTCCTCAGGCCACACAGCATGTCAGTGACAGAGGGGAACACAGCTCAGCATTTACAGTGGGCTCTCGTGGTCCTGCTGGAGACTGAGGGTTCCTGCACCCCAGAACCGTGCCCCCCCAGAAGTCTGGCACCACCTGAGAGCCGAGGAGACAGCCAGCCCTCAGCTCTGCTCCCTACACCACCCGCCCCACCCTCCTGGGCCTCACCTGTAAGAATAGATGGGCTTGGGGTAGTGTTTGGGGTGCAATTCCTGAGTCGAGTGCATGGCCACCCGGGCCTGGGGGTAGGCAGGCCGTGCCCCAAATGGGGAACCGTACAGGCTGGCGGTGGGGCACTGCCCACCAGAAGGTCAGCAGGGAGCAGAAAGGTGAGAGAGAGCTCAAGTCAGTTACAGTACCACCCTGGCCCCACTCCAGCCTTAGAAAGCCCAAGGTGGCCTTACAACCCAGGAGACAGTGTTGTTTCCACGCTCCCCACCCCGACAGGTATCTAGGGAGCTGCAGACACAGTGTGGAATGTCTTCCATGTGGTGCAACAGTGATCTTGAGGCTCAGCTCGGGGAAAGCCCCTGACCCTCCCAAGCCAGGTGTGTGTGCCTCCAATCCAGGATCCCCAAAGCTGAGGTACCTGCTGGTCCTGGGGGAGTGGGAAGTGCTGCTGTGAGGCTGGTGGGTAAAGCTGCGGCTCATGCAGACCCGCGGACGCTCGGCCTCCCACCGGAAACGAGCTCATCTGCCAGCCCCGGAGAAAAGACAGAGGGTCAGGGTGGAGGCAGGTGCGTCCAGCCCTGGAGGACCAGCCCTATCTCTCTCCGACCCCAGCAGAGGCACTTACACTGGCTCCGTGGTTAGCCAGGGGGCCCAGGCCCAGGATGCCTGGGGATGCCATACCAGCAGCTCCATGGAGCAGGGGACTCACGGTGGCTCCCAGGTGCAGGTCAGCTGCCCCCGCCAAGGCACCTGCAAGAGGGCACAGAGATGCTGCCAGGCTGGGGGATGGGTCCTGGTGTCCCAGGGCAGGGACAGCTGGCCCCCAAACATCCCCAGAGGATGGGGCCACCTCACCCTCAGGACCTGGCACTAAGCAGGTATGTGCAAACCACTTCTTGATGCTTAGGGATGAAGAGTGGGACTCTTACCCACCTTGCTTCAGCCTCAGTTTTCCCATCTGTACAATGGGCCTGGTGGTATTACCTAAAAGCTGGGAGAGGTCTAGAGCTTGTTTAGCACAAGAGATTATCTCAATAAATATGACGACAGCAACAATAACAGTGAAATATCTTGGCTCTTGTCCTTCAAGTGAAAACACAAATTCTTGATCTCACCTCAGAAATGCCTATGCCTTCTCTGGCCCCCTAGATTTAGGGTCAAAGGCATTTTTCTCCTTTCTTCCCTTTGCCAAGCGACCTCTGCCAACAATGGGCTCCGCTGTTCCTCAGATCAGCTAGGGGATTTGAACTGCTGACCTACTAGTTAGCAGTTCAATATGTTGCACCACCTGAGCGCCTTCCATCGACAAGAGGCTGTTAGGAAATATCGTGGAGTCCCAAGGTGGTGCACGTGGCTAAGCTCTGGAAGACTAACAGAGTTCAAACCTAGTCAGAGGTGCCTCAGAAGACAAGCCAGGAGGGGCTTCCCAAAGGTCACAGCCTTGAAACCCTATGAGGCAGTTCTGCTCTCCCAACGGGGCTGCCACAGGCCAGAATGAACTTGAAAGCAACTCAACAACAACAACAACAAATCTCAACTCATGGCTATTGAGGCAGACCGACTCACAGCTGACCCTGCAGCGGGTTTTCAGAGAAAATCACACGGGAGGAGATTGCTCATCCTTCTCCAGTAGATCTGCTTGGCGGATTCGAACCTCCAGAGGAGGGATCACCTTCGCATTAGCAGCTCAACTCCCTACAGCCACTAGAGCTCCCTTGACAACAGGTGTTGCTGTTGTTGTTGAGCTGGCCCGTAGCCGACCCTCCAGTGGGATTTCAGACACGGGAGGAGACTGCCCATCCTTCTCCCACAGAGCAGCCGGTGAGTTTGAGCTGCGTGCCTTCGCTCGGCAGCAGTAAGAACAGGTAAAAATTTTCGTTTTGCTGAACACCTGTGATCTCCAGGCCACAGTGCTGTCTTTTTGAAAAGCCTTTACAGAAATGAGTGGTGTGCTGGGGCCTCGACCCCTCGATATCTGGGACACACTGGTGCGGAGGCCAGTCTGTGTGCATGTTTCACGGAAGCCCCCGCATGCACAGGGTCCCCCCACCACGATGAGGGCACAGAGGACCCCACAGCTAGAGGGAAGGGGCCTGGCTGGGTTGACATCTCCTCCCGTCCCCTGCATCCCGCCACCTGCCCACATCCACCTCTCTTGGCCTTGAACTTACCTGGATGTGGGCAGGGGGCACCGGGGCCACCCACGTCCACACGGCCACTTGCCATCTGCTGCAGCCGCGGGACATTAACGGCCGTGAGCCACGACAGCGACTGCAGATCTCCGGGCAGGTCATCGTCACTGGAGGTGGCTGGGAGCCTGCAGAGAGGGGCAGGGAGCGAGAGCCGGCTCCGGGGTTGCTTCCCACTGGCCCCTACACAGCCCACATGGTGACTGGCCCAGGACACCCCTCTGATGGACAGCAGCATGGCCTCAGGCCCTCCCCTTCCCTCCTGCGTCACACACTGTCGTCACTGAATCCATTCGGGCTCACAGGAGCCCCACCGAGTTTTCCAGGCTGTGACCTTTCGCACGCAGACACCAGGCCCTTCTTCTGAGGTATCCCTGGATGGGTTTGAACTAGCAACCTTTGAGCTAGCAGTCACACCTTTAACCATGTCCACCACCACAACAGACAGAAAAAGTGCTGTGTCCTTCACAGGTACTGACCCACAGGCCACCCCACGTTGGTGGTGGTTGCAGGCTTTGCTCGTGACCCAGGCTGATCCCTATGGATGAGACTGGACGTGGGGACCCAAAGGGCTGTCACTGGTTGATTGTGGAAACAGGCCAAGCCCAAGTCTGTCTTCCTGTTGTTGCTGTTGATTGCCGTCGAATCAAGCATGACTCACAGCAACCCTATGAACAAAAGACCTGAAGCCTTTCTAGAACTATCGTTATTCCTCAAAGTTCATAGAGTTTCCAGAGTCATGTTGTTTAGGAAGTGGATGACGCTCCTGCTTCCAAACCTGTCTTAAACTGAGAACTCCACCAAACACTGTCCATCATGGGCAGTCGTTATAAGGTTCAGCATCACAGCAACCCCAGGTTACCTCAGGACAGCAAACTGACAGATTGCTGTAACACTTAGAGGAATGTTCCTCCAAAATATAATAACAACTGACTTCTAACTGCAAAGGCCTCTATGAGGTCTTGTTGACTTTAAACAAGAGGCTTAAGTAAAAAAAAACAACCAATATAATATATTCTTCTTGTTGTTGTTAAGTGCCGTTGAGTGACTAGCACATCTTATTCTGGACCAAATCCAGTGCCGTCTAGTTGATCCCAGCTTCTTGTGACCGCCATCGGGTGTCTGAGGAGGTACTGAGGCTGTAATAGGAAGAGACTAACCATCTTTCTCCTGGGGGATTTGAACCGCTGACCTTTCGGTTGGCAGCGTGCTATGCTATGCGCCTGCTCAGCACTTAGTGGCATGTTTGCCCCACTGACCAACGAGTAGAGGCTGCACATGAAGTGAGTTGGTTTGGAATCTTGAGCACGGAAAGCGGACCGTCTCCCACCAAACCACGACGGCAGAGGCAGGCCTTAATATCATTTCCATTTCATGGAGGGAAAAGTGCAGCTCCGTAGCCTGAGTCGGAGTTGCATGGGCTCTGAGAGGCGGACCCAGCCCGGGCACCCTGCAGCGTGCAGTGGCTAGGAGCTTTCCTATCATATCAAAGAGCAAGCTGCCCTGTGAACAGCCTGGGGTTTGACGTGACCCTGCACAGGGTGCCGAGGGCCTGCCACAGCCACTCAGTCCTGAGGTGCCTTGGGCATTAGGCTTTGTTCATGTGCCCCTTTTACAGATGAACAAACTGAGGCTCCAGAGTATATGGAACAGCTAGTGGTGGAACTAGAACCTCATCATAGTCCCAATGGACTATGGCAGGACACTCGATGAAGACCCGTGCCCACTGTCCTTCAACAGATTTACGAGCAAATAAAATACCTTTCATGGACAGAAAAATACCTGCACTCAGACTACTAGACACGGCAGCCAGGACTTCCTGTGCTCCTGAGACCAGGTTTGGCCACATGGTCCCAGAGACCTGGGCACCATGTTAGCATCTTGTCCCTGTCACAACATGGGGACAAACTGGGGGCCCGGGAGGCCAGGCTAGACCCTACCACATACACTGCCCTGCCTGTCAGCGGCTTGCTACTTGCTGCTGCAAATTCTGTCTAAGCTCTAAACTGCAAAAGAACAAGCAAATCTGTCTTGGAAGTCGTGCAGGCAGAATGCTCCTTAGAAGCAAGGATGGTGGGACTCTGCCTCAGGTCCTTTGTGCACGTGACAGGGAGAGGTCAATGCCTGGAGAAGAGACATTATGTTTGGAAAAGCAGAGGGTCAGCAAAGGAGAGGAAGGCCCTCAACACAGGACTGACTCCGTGCCCGTAGCCATGAGTTTAATCACAGCAGAGGTTGTGACGACGTGGTCAGGGCTCCACTCTGCTGTGCACAGTTGCCTGGAGTCTGAGATCGCTCGATGCAAGAAGTTTCACAACAAAGTGTCTTGGGGCCTCATGGGAAGGTGTGTGTGTGTGTGTGTGTGTGTGTGCTCGCGCGCGCACATGCACCTTGGTCTTGGCTTACTTGAGAAACGCTATTAGCTGGGAGCGGTCCCTGGAGAAAAGCATCATGCTTGGTAAAACAGAGTCCTCGAAAAGAGGAAGGGACCCACAGTGGAATGGACTCACACAAGGGCCACATCAGTCAGCTCAGCAGGTTACTAGAATGATGGCCCAGCACCTGGCTCTGCTTCCCCCTGTGGGCGCTGTGAGTCAGAGCCGATTCAAAGGCACCCAGCAAGAACATCAGCTGCTTCTCATGCTTGTGATAGGACCCCAGCCTGGGACGCTGGGCCCACCCTCCTCTTCCTCTTCCCCTTGCACCCCCGCCCCTTCCCCCTCTCTGCCCTCTTCTCTCAACCCCCACTCCATGTCTGCTGCCTCTTTCCTTGTGTTTTAAGGGGGTAATTAGTGTTGTCATGGCTACTGTTGCTCAGTTGTCACCGGGCCTGGCTCTCAGGTGATCGCCCGCTGCCGCAGTGATTGGCTCCCTCGCAGGAAAACAGGACCTGAAGACAGTTTGAAAACTGTCTGGGCCAGTGTGGCCCTGCAGCAGTTGGCTGCTGCCCCCCACCCTCCCTCCACCCCCAGTGGCTCATTGTGTAACAGACCACTGTTGCCCCATGGCACGTGGCCCCATTGTCCCAGGGTCTCAGTGCAATTGTTTCTGCTGCCCCAGCCCCCGGCTGTCGCCCCTCTAGACTGCTCGTAACTCATCTGATCAAGTGACAGCTGAGGCCCTGGCCTGGGCCATGCCATCTGTCTCCTTGGGCCTGTAAACAGCATGAGGTGGGGCAAGGCGCAGAGCCCAGGGGGCCACCCGCTTCTGGGGGTGCTCCACCAGCCCCATCCCTCCTTAGTCCACGCCTGGCAGGGGCCAGGCCAGCTGCACACGCCCTGGCCAGTCAGTAGGCTTCCCGTTGTCTGGTGACACTAGCCCTGCTCCTGCTCCAGAGCCGGCTATAGCTCCCCACTGCCCTCACTGCTCTGCCTGGTGGGAGAGAGGGGGATCCCTGATGGCAGATTTCTCAAGGTGCCCCCTGCCCTGGCATACCTGAATGAAGGGGCTCGTGCTAAAACCAGGTGGAGAGTGGATGGGGCTTCTGATAGGCACCATCTCTGAATCAAGAGTTGGCCACCTAGAATCAGCCACATCTGGTCTCCCCTGGCTTTCTGAGCAGCGACTATGATTGGACTGCCATGATATAATCCTCTCACTGGCTGATCTCAGAAACAGATCGCCAGGCCTTTCTTCCTCGTCCATCAGGCCTGGAGGCTCTGCTGAAAGCTGTCATCCTAGCAACGTGCAAGCCTCTGCTGGCAGATGGCGGTGACTGTGCACAAGGCGCACTAGCCGGGGGTCGAACCTGGGTATCCCTGCACGGAAGGTAAGGGTTTAGCAGTTCCTGTCACATGGAATAAAACATGCTCGGAAGGGTGGAGGGTCAGCATAGGAGAGGAAGACCCAGGACGAGAGGACTGACACAGTGACTATGGCGATGGGATCAGATGTGTGTCCAAGCTGGTGAGGTTGCCTCAGGATAGGGCACATTTCAGAGCATTTTTCTTGGGTTGCTATGAGTCGTAGTTGACGGCACCTCACCAAATAACAACATTGCATGTGGTGTTGGGAGAGTAGATGTGCTCCCACATGCCCATAGTGCCCAGTGCCCAGCTCAGCAAATATGACGTGAGTGGCCATGGATATTAATGTCAGCAGGAGCAGGTCCCCATGGTCTTGGGCGTCCCTGGACCTGCCGTGGCTGCAGCTGCTGTTGCTAGGTGCTGCCCTGTTGGTTCTGACTTACAGCGACCCCATGCGGGGGACTGCACCTGCCCCATGGGGTTCTGAGACGGTCATCTTCCTAGGAGCGGATAGCTAGGCCCTTGTCCTACACAGTCACGAGGTGAGTTTGAACCCCCAGCCTTTCAGTTAATAGCTGAGCACCAAACCTTGCACCACCAGGGCCCCTTCTCCCAGTTCTTCCTCTACGCCAGACTGTGACTGTGCACTGCCCCCTTTTTAGAGGTAGGAAAACTGAGACCACATAGAGTCCCTGCCCGAGACCTGGGCAGACCCTGAGCTCTGAGCCTCAGTTTCCCCAGCCCAGATGAGGCAGTAAGTGCTGAACAAATGGTGCCACTCGTACTTGTCTTCCGCTTTCTGTTGCTTGTGGGAGGCTCCCAGTGTGTGTGTGTGTGTGTGTGTGTGTGTGTGTGTGTCTGCCCACACTCCAGGCTCGAGGCTTTCTCAATATAAGACCAGACACCTGCACAGTGACCCTGTGTACAGCAGCTCTGCGCCTGCCCTGTCCTGAGCCGGTCTCACTGACACATCTACCCCCACTACCCTAGTTGCTGTATCAATCCATCTCATCCGGGTTCTTCTTCTCCTGCACTGTCCCTCCACCCTTGCAAGCATGATGTCCTTCTCCAACGACCGGTTTCTTCTGGACACGTGCCCAAAGTATGTGAGATGGAGCTTCAAAATCCTCGCCTCCAAGGAGAGACTTCGGTTTCACCTTCTCTAAAACATAACTACTTGTTTCCTTGGCGGCCCACGGTTTGTTCAAGACTCTTCTCCAGCACCACAGCTCGAAGGCATCGGCTCTTCTGTCGTCCTTAGTCATTGCCCGGCTCTCAGATGCGCAGCAAGTCATTGCAAAGACTTGTTGAGCTCAGGCTGCTGATTCTGAGCGGACAGTGCCCATAGCTGCCCTGCCCAGCTCTTGTAGCACCGTCCCAGC